GCACCAACTCTACACAATGAATACAAACAGTATGTACTGTTGTCTAAGTGTTAGGTCGTAGTACTCACTATAATTAAAACAAAATGATAAGTCACAAATTCCACTTGTGTGTTTTCACCATACTACTTTTGCATTGCTCTGTCTTCTCCCAGGGGAACAGCTTTAGGAATCACTGGAATTGCTGGCAGTACTGGGGCAGCCCTGACTCCCTGTTGATGATCCTAGTGACATATTCTCCACCCTTGCTCTGGATCATCTATGGTGTTTTCTCCACCCTCTCTGGCCTTGTTGTCCTCCTTCTTCCTGAAACCAGGAATCAGCTTCTGCTGGACTCTATCCAAGACATAGAAAATGGATGAGTGAACCCTACCACTGCCCCTTAGGGGAGTTGTGACTACAGGTCTGAGTGAGATGACAATATACCATTCAGAGCCAATGCATCCCAGGGAGGCTTAGACCTAAATTCTTCTCATGTGGTTAGTGCCTTTGGTTCAGATACAGTTCATCTGTTTAAGCAGGGGCCTCAGATGTCCCTGTAGGCTCTCAAGACCACACAAACCAGCTCTGCCCAGTCTACACCACTAGATTTCATGGTACATATGGCAAATTTAGGTCTCTTCTGCTCTCCCTGCCCTAGTGTAACACACACAGTCCTGAAGGAGTTTCACAAACATGCCCAAATATAAATATCAAACCTCATCCTGTAGACCTTGACCCCCTCTGCTGGTGAATGCTGGTAAGCTCTTGGCAGTGGTCAGTTCTGGAAGGCCTGAGTTTTTCCCTGGTCACAAAGTAATCTGGGGGGATCATGTGCAGGACTAGAGCCTTCCTCACAAGTGACAGTCCATCTCAGGCGAAGGAGTCTTGGTTGGTTGAGATTCTAACCACCTGGCTTTCACTGGGAATGAAAGTGTTGAACAAAAAAAAAGGCAAAGGGCTACATAAAGTGCCTTTGTAAGTAATGAAGACTGAGAAAGGGTTTTGAAACTTCTCTGACCTTCTCTTTCCTTTTCCAAAGACCCACTTGACTAAAGTATAAGTAGAGACCTTCACAGCTGCCTTATCAGATCTTACATTGTGAGTTAGGTCTTTATTCCTAGCATTTACTCAAACCCTCCTGGCAGGATTCAAGATTGGTACCAAAACTGGTGCATGAATGGTCATCTTGCCCTAAGACATGAAGACAGAGAAATGATAGAGAGAGAAGAGAGGGGATAGAGAGATAACAGAGACAGATTATATAGGTATATACAGGTGGTGACAGATGTAGATGATGTGTATAAATACAGACATATAATATAGATATAGATTGATAGATTACATAGATACAGCAGTAGATATAGACACAGATATAAATATGAACGACATACATAGAGAAATAGACAGACAAACAGATGGATAGATATAACTTTTTTCCTATTTGCATTTGTTTGTTGGTTTCTTTCTATTTGTCCCAGGATACAAGGCTCAAGAAAAAAAAAAAAAAACTGGAAGATACCTTCATCAAAGTGACACAGTTTTAAGAAATTCAAGGAACTGAGTGTTGATCAGAAAGCAAAGAAAAAATTTAAATCTTCCCCAGAGACAAGCAAAATTTGGAAAAAAATTTAAATAAAAAGATATAATGAAATAATGGATCCATCCGCAACTGTGATATAATTGCTAAGTATAAAATACCTATAAATAATCACAACTGAATATAATGGTAATACTTCAAAAGGAATCATATAACAGTATTTATGTAATTATAGATAACTAGCATGTTTCTGGATGAGAAAGTTGAATGATACTTACCATGTTAGCTCAGTGTAGGGCTGTGCACCTGCAGTCCCGGGTACTCAGGAGATTGAAGTATAAGGATACTGGGGGCTTGGAGCTCGAGACTAACCTGGACAACATAGCAAAAACTCAACAAAAAAGAAGACAAAAGACAACACGGACTCTTTCCCAACTGCATTTTAGGGTCGCTGGGGAAGTTGTTCCAATGACAAAAGTCATAATTTTCAAGAACTTAACAAATAGTTCCTAATTTATACAGAACTTAGTAATAGGCAAGATGGTTTTTAAAAAGAGGACCAGGGATGGGACTTGGGCTGGTGATGGAGACTACTATGAAGTGGCTCTGTGCAGGATTTTCTATTAACCAATTGGCTTTCCATGTTTACTTGTGAGTTGTCCAAAGCCTAGGCACTTTGTCTGGAGAAGGGCAATAGACTCAGTAAGTGAACCTCTATGAGTCATTAGTCACCACTGAGGCCTGTATTGGCCTGGGAGACTCTGACACCTCAAAGGACAAGATAAAGCCACAGCTGAGGATGTTTTGCTCCAACCCCAATTAACTAAAAGGAGACTGCAGCTGTAGGCTCCACACTCCTACTATAAATGCCAACCTAAATATAAGGTAGTTCTCCTGACTGACATACTTTACTAAGGAAAATATTTCTCAAGGTTCTGCTAGATTCCCACATTTTCTTCAGTATTGCCCTGCTTTGTTTGAAAACCAAATAAATACAGGCCACCTAGGAAGTTCCTGGTCTTCACCCAGAGAATCACAAATTCTTTGAGACGGTTGAATCTTCCTGGAACCCTAAAATCATTTCAACTGTCTCCTTTATTTAAGCCTCCACTGTCCACTTGTTTGGGAGGTTGCAGGCCTGATCAGCTGCAATAACTAAAGGATATTATTAACACAATAGGCTGGGCCTACTAGGGGAAGAACACGCAGGACTTTCTTGTCAGCTATAAGGGTCAGACCAGTAATAGCTGAGACACTTTCAGTCAAAAGATATCCAGTAACAGACATAGGATGTATAAATATTAATATATAGGGTTGGGAATATAGTTCAGTGGCACAAGCACCTGCCTGGCAAGTACAAAGTCCTGAGTTTGATTCCCAGTAGCCCCCAAAAAATAATATTAATATTTAATTGTGCGGTATGTAAATTACAAGAGGAAATGCCTGCCTATCAATAGATGAGTGCATAAAGAAAATGTGACATATAGAGATAAGGGCTGGGGATTTAGCTCAGTGGCACAGCACCTGCCTGGCAAGCGCGAAGTGGTGAGTTCGATTCCCGGTACCAAAAAAAAAAAAAGAAGAGAGATGTACCAGGGAGTACTACTGAGCCATAATGAAGTATAAATTTGAGCCATTTGTAGGAAAATGAATGCATCTTGAGACCATAATGCTAAGTGAAATAAATTAGACACCAAAGGTTAAATATCACATGGCTTCTTTTACATGAGAAACCCAAAGCATAAATAATTCAAAGAGCAAAATAAAAGATAAATGATAGGAAAGAGGAAAGTAGACTTTGCAAAGTAGGAAGAGGATTTAGGGATGGGAAAAGAGGAAAAAAGGAAGTGAAAGGAAAGCAAATATATTAAGATGCAATATGTATACATACCAATTTCCCAAGAAAATGTAATCATTATGTATTACATATATATACCAATAAATAAGTGACTGATAATTAAATCATATTCTAAACAAAAAAAATCCACTTGAATAAAAAGTTAAATGGAACAAATAAACCATAAGTTTCAATAGAAAATTTGGCTACCAAATTTAGGATTTTAAAAATGTTTCATTTTTAGGTTTTTGAGGAATCTCTATATTGATTTCTACAGTGGCTGTACCAGCTTACATTTCCACCAACAATGGAAAAGTGTTCCTTGTCACCCCACATCCCCTGCAGCATGTTATTATTTGATTTCTGGATGATGGCCATTCTTTCTGGAGTGAAACAGAATCTCAGTGTTGTTGTAATATGCGTTTCTCAAATGACCAGCAAGAATGAACTTTTTTTCATGTGTTTATTGGTCATTTGTACTTCCCCATCTGAGAACAGTCTATTCATTTCAGATGTTCACATTATGATTAGGTCTTTAAATTGCAGATGTCTAATTTATTTTTAGTTCTTCACATATTCTAGATATTAGTCCTTTGAGGACTAGCTGGCCAATTTTTAACCCATTTGGTAGGCTGCCTCTTCACTCTGTTGGTGGTTTCTTTGCTGTACAGAAACTTTCTAATTTTATTTATTTATTTATTTTTTTTTTTGGTTTGTTTGTTTTTTGTTTTTTTCCGGTACCGGGAATCAAACTCAAGACCTCATGCTTTCCAGGCAGGCACTGTGCCACTGAGCTAAATCCCCAGCCCCTAACTTTCTAATTTTATGTGATCCCATTTGTTGATTCCATTTGACCCAGCTATTCCCCTTCTAGGTATCTTCCCAAAAGAGTTAAAGGCATCATATCACAGTGATACATGCACACTCATGTTTATAATAGTACAATCCATATTAGCTAAATCTTCAAGTGCCCCATATTCCATCAACAGATGAATACATAAAGAAAATGTAGAGAGAAAGAGGGGGGAGAAAATGTGGTATTATAGACAATGGAGTCCTACTCTGCCATAAACAAGGATAAACATGCATCATCTGTAGGAAAATGGATGCACTTTGATACCATAATGTTAAGTGAGGAAAATCAGATACACAAGCTTAAATACTGCCTGTTTTCTCTTATATGCAGAATCCAATATAAAAATAAAGTGTAAAATAAAATGCAGACAATAGGAAATAGCAAGGTGGATCATTAGAATGTCGGAAGGGAACTATGGGAGGGGGAGAAAAAGGAAGAAAATGAGATTTTTAAAAAGAAAAGAAACAAGGGAAAGACTGTGAAGTGTTGTGTGCACTAAGACCCTGAAAGGAGTGTGGTTGTCATGTACTATAAACGTGTGTTTGAAAGTTACACAATGGGGGGTCCAAGGGTTGCAGGAAGGGAGGGGAGTGGAGACGGTTAAAAAATTAAGAAATATCATGGCGTGTGCCAATACCCCACAATGAATGTAATCATTACATACTACTACGTACCAATAAAGAAATAAAAATGTTTTAAATGTTCTAAATACTAAAGAAAGTGTCAGAAACGCAGAGATAGACATGTATGAGAACACAATGTCTCCAAGCAGATGACTGTAATTCTCCCCTTCTAGTTAGGGTGCATTTTGCTTCCCTTCCTGGATAAATGACTCTGGTGAGTAATTCCATTATTATGCTAAACAGAAGTCCTGAGAGCAACAGTCTTTGCCTTTTTCCTGCTCTGAGAGAAAAAGTTTCTCTTTTCACCATTAAGATTGATGTTACCTGTGGGTTTTTCATATTTGATTTTTATTACATTGAGATAAATTTCTTCTATATATAATTTGCTGAGAGTTATCATGAAAACTTGTTAAATTTCTGAAATTCAAATTGAATAAGGAGAAATACAGCTCCAAATCTGCTAGATATCAGATGCACCAAGCTTATGTCCCCCAAAATCAAGAATCCATTCCAAAGGACAGTGAAGAATAGGGAAGGTTTATTGAGACATAGCTCTTGAGAGACAGTCGAGGTCCCAGAAGTGTGTTGCCACCAAGGCCCTTGGTAAGGGATAATTTATATAGCAAAGTCACACTGTGGGTACATCATGGGTCAAACTACAATCAACCTGTAGGACTACAAGTATAGTCACCTACTAATATTGATCCCTACTGGGATGAGAAATCCCAATAAGAAAGTGAGTCATGTAGCAAGGGGACATGGAAATAACAAAGATATTTTTGGGAAGGAATGGGCCCAGATGCTCTAGTCACCCATCGGGGTGACTGATACCTGTCTAGACCTTACTCAACCAGGTGATACCAATCACAGTACAGCCTCAAGTTATTGTTCATCTGTTAGGCCTCATGTAGGCCTGCTCATTGAACCTTTGAGGCCTGGCCTTCAACAGATGAGCCTCCAGCCACAGTCCTGATGTGCTCTTGTCTTTTGCACTGACTCTCTTGAGGGTCTGTCACTGTCTGACTATTAATTTCTATCTAACTTAGCTATGATAAACTTGTTCTATTTTTTTTTTTTTTTCAGATTTTTTCTGCAGCTATGAACATGCTCATATGATTTTGTCCTTTATTCTACTGATGTAGCACATCACATTGATTAATTGTCATGTTTTGAACTATCTTTTACAACCTGGGGATAAATCTCATGTAGTCATGGTATATGATCCTTTAGTGTATTGTTGAATTCAATTTGCTAGTATTCTGTTGTGTTGTGGTCTTGAGGAATATTGCCCTATATTTTTATTTGTTTGGTTGATTGGTTTGGTTTTCTTCTGATATTTTTAACTGACTTTGGTTTCAAGGTGATACAGGCCTCTCCATGTTTGAGTGTGCCCTCTTCAATTGGAAGAGATTAAGAAGAATTGGTGTTAATTTATCTGTAATGTTTGATAAAATTTATCCTTGAAGCTATTTTGTCATGGGCTTTTTTAGGAGGATTTTGATTACTAATTCTACATCCTCCTCATCAGTCTGCCAGGCTATTTTCCTTGAGTTGGTCTTGGTAGGTTATATGTTTCAAAAATTTCTCCATTTCAAGTTGTCTGATTTGTTGACATACTATCATTCATGGTCTCTACTGATCAGTAGTGATCTCTTCTGTCATTCGTAGTTTCGTTTATTTGAATCTTCCTTTTCTTCCCTTAGTCTAGCTAAAGCTTTGTCCACATTGTCTATCTTTTCAAAAAGTCAAATCTTTACTGATTTTTTGCTATTCTCTAAATCCACTATAATCTTTATGACTTCCTTCTTTC